GCAGGAAAGGGTGTTATCCTACCATGAAGGTACCCGAGGCCTTTCTCTGGTGCTGGTGGAGCAGTGCCTTGCTTCCTTACTTCAAGGTTCCCTCGGGGAAGGTACAGAACTTTCAGCCAGGTCCTTTCCTGCTCACAGGCATCTCAAGGAGGTGCTGCTGGGATTTGCCATCGTGGAAGGGGAAATGTCAGCTTGCTCCGTGGCTGCCTGGGTTTGCTGTCTTGGAGGGTGGATTAAAGCAGGGCAGTTTTCTGGCTGGGGTGGTGCCCCCCTGGGGTGTCGTGAACAGGGGGCAGGGGTTTGCCCTGCTGGTTGGATTGGAGGTGGCTGGTGTCCCAGAAGGGATTGGTCTAATCACCTTCACTACTTTATTTGGGAACACCAACTTTGGACTTGATCTTGGAGCTCTTTCCTTCTATTCCCATCTGATGGTGGTTGTCCTGGGCTCCACTGCCTCCACGTCCTTTGGATGGTGAAGATAGGACTCGTGTGGACCTTAATGCAAGAAAAGTGTTTCTCCTTGCTGAAAAGGCTGTCATGGACCGTGTCCCAACTGTGTGGGGGCCGCTGATGTTATCTCCTCGACTTGGCTGCACAGAGGGACCTTCTGGGCAAGAAGCAGTTGATGTGTTCTCTGCTCTGATACTGAGCTGGAGAAAAGCCATGGAAGGGAAAGGTCCCAGGACGGTGAAGGCAAGTGGGGGAACCAGTGTGTCCCAGCGAAGTGGAAAGTCCCTGTGATGGAGCTGTGACGCCCTGAGGGATTCCCGTGACCTCAGCAGGAAAATACATTCTATATTGTTGGTAATTTTTCATAGTTTTTAAAAACTTCAGCATTTCTTCAAACCTTGTGCCTCAAAGCGGGACAAGTGAAAATCCCACCAAGGGGTGAATGTTTACCTCTTTGGTGCTAGTCAACAGGAATACTGTGATTTACCCGTTCACCTTTGTAACTGGGACAGAGATGAAGGAAGCCTCTAACTAAACAATCTGGGATGGAATTTCCCAAAAATCTTGCATCCATGCAATGACAATTTCACAAATACTCTTAAGATACTTTCCAAACTAAGCTTTTGTGTGCTGTGCCTTTTATCACTCACTTTAATCAGTGGGTTTTTTATCTGCTTAGAAATTTTTCAGGTGCTTTTTGGACACTCAGGCCTTCAGAGGAGGGGGTAGGTTCATCTTTGCCCTATGCCCACAACGTGGTTAATTGTTGGCCACGTGGTGAAAACAGGGCAAAACCTCGAGAGACAAATTGGTTTCTCTCAGGACATGGGGCTGTTAAAACCAGGGGGCTTAAATGTTGTCCCTTCTGTGGCTGAGGAGGCTGTAACATCACTGGCATGATGTGATATGAAGGAGAGCAAGCCTTGCTCTCTGCCTGCCTCGCCCTGAGCTGTCTGTGGTGTGGCTGCTTCCCTGTGCCCGGATCAGTGCAGTTGTGGTTCCTGGGTTCCCGATTCCCCTCTCAGTCACTGTCAGCTCCTCCATCAGGGTGGGCTGTAGATGCACCTTGCTGCTGGTGGGTGGCTGTCCTGTGCAGGAGAGACAGAGAGGGGACTCTTGGGATGTGCAGTGGTGTGTTTAGCTTGGTTGGTCAGCTGTGTTTGGACCAGAGCGGTGTGAGGCAATGGGGACTCTGTCTAGGTGAGATCTGACCTGGTTCTTGTGAGGAGTCCAGTCTTTTCTGACCATGCTGATCCTGCAAGTGGCAGAAGGATGGCATGGGGCATAAGGAATGTGCGTGGAGAGCTGGAGATTTGCCTTCTGCTCCCAACTGTGCCACAAGTCACTGTGGGACAGCAGAAAGATTGCTTAACTCATCCAAACATTGGCTTCTCTGCTTCTTCAATGGTGACTGTGTGGTTTGCACAGTGTTTGGAGGCTGCTTTTAAGGTGCAGTTGCTGGAGAACAGAAACCAACCTCATACTGGAGAACATTCAAGGCTTGAAATCCCAAGCTTGATTTTGCAGGGCTGGGGTCTGATGCTTGAATGAGGTGTGGTGGGATAAAGCCCTTTTGCTTACTTTGCTCAGCTCTTGCCAACACTGTGCAGAGCAGGTGGGGCACTCGACTTGGGCACACTTTTCCATATGCAGTATCACAGAATCGTTGAGCATGGAAAAGACCTCCAAGATTATTGAATCCAACCTTTGACCAATCAATACCTGGTCCACTAGATCAGAGCATTGAGTCCCACATCCCATTGTTTCTTGAACACTCCAGGGATGGGGACTCCACCACCTCCCTGAGCAGCCCCTTCCAATGCCTGAGCACCCTTTCCTTGAGGAAATTCTTCCTGATGTCCAGCCTGATATGCTCGTGGTTAATGCCTTGTCCAAGGGTGATGCTCAGTCGTTGCCTGAGGATGTTTCCCACAGCTGCTTTGGTGTCTCCTCTTTTCCTGTCTCCTGGGAGCAGTGTCTCCAGGTGTTTCACACAGGGGCTGGGCAGATGTGTGGGCACCAGGTTGTGTTGCCAACAGAGCTGCTATCAGGGGAGTTGTGACAATCTGATGTCAGAAGGTCTCTCCCTGGTGTTTTGTCTCAGTTGATCCATCCCTTCTCCCTTCCCTGGGTAGTGGTTGTGCTCTTCTGATGGAAGTCCAGCTGGGAGAAGAGGATGAAGGGATAGATTTTTTTTTTCCCTGCAGAGTTGCTCAACACCCTCGTAAAAAGCAAAGCATTGATCCAAAACCTTGACCTCAACACTCGTTTTTCTGAGTGTTCTTGAGATGCTTAACAGGGCTTCTTGGAAAGCCAGATTATGTCCTCAAGAACTGTCCCTTGCCTTGTCATCTCATTCAGTGTGGGTGGGAAGGAAGGGAGAGTCGAGGGAATACACAGCAGAAAAGGTTGCAAAGTTCCTGCTCAGTTATGGTGGACAAATGGAGTCCTCTCCCACGAAAAATGCTTCCATAAGCACTGCCCTGGGAGAGGAGGTTTAGATTTGTGTGTGGTCTGTAGCACACCAGGAAAAAAAAACCCAAAGACTCTGTTTTGTGTTTTGAAAGTTGTGGTAATACCTTGGTTATATTTTTTCCTTGAATTCCCTGCCTGTTGTGTGCTGGCACACGAGAGGCAGTGGGAAGGGATGGCTGGGCTGGTGTGGGGTGAGGAGAGGATTCCCCTCCGGGGCCCAAGCTGTGCCCTAAAACAAGCTGATGTGCAGGGAGGTGTGTTTTTTGTGAGCTGGGTGTTGTAAGGGGTGCCTGTGAGTCACACAGTGCTCGTAGTCACCGTTTTCCTCTTGCCACAGGCTGTGACTGAGGTGCTGGGGTGTGATTCCCCGCTCATTCAGCCGCGGCACCGCGTTCCTCGGCGTTCCTCACGAGTGCACTGTGGATGGACAAAGCTTATGGTGAAGACCACCATAAGAACAGGCTGTGGCAGTGGGACACAAGAGGCAGGAGCCCACGAGCCTCTTTGGGGTGAAAAAGAGAACTTGTATTTGGCAGGTCAGTGGTTGTTCTTGTGTGTTTGCTTTCACCTGTTTGGAGCTGTTGGTACAGCACAGGAAGGACCAAGGGGCAAGGCTGGAGCCAACCTCCCCCAGTGCCTGGGCTCTTGGGGAGCCCCAGCAGCCAGGCACAGCTTTCCTGAGCCTTTTTGGGGGATTTGCTGGGAATTAAGTGTGGGTGGAGGTGACCATGCTGAGTGCACCAAGCAGGGAGGACCATGGAGGCTTTGCTGAGATCACAGTGACTTTGGGTCCTTCCAGGGCAGAGATGGGGGGCTGTGATATGTGCAGCCACCACTGAATACTGAGCACCAAACATTGGCCAAATAAGCAGAGAACTGAGAATTTGGGGTAGCTGTGGGAACTGTATAGGTGTGTGGCATTGGTACAGGAGTGTTCTGTCCAGGGTGAAAGCAGGTGGGCTTTGTAGTGTTGGAAGATTTTGTTTCTTCTTCCTGGATTATGTTTGTGCATTTTTGTTGCTTCTAACCAAAAAGCAAAGAGTCTGACGGATGAACCCATGTCTGTGCTTTGGGAGAGGAGGGACCCCAGGGTCCTTCTGGACTCCAGGGCTGGCACTGCAGGGGAGGAGGGAATCTCAGCCTGATCACCAGCCTGCTCACGGCCAGGCAGATCTGAGCAGTAAATCCTCTGGGCAAATGACTTGTATGTTCAAGACCTCTCAAGACAGATGCATATGAACTGGGTGGGATAAAATCTGCCTCCCCCAGCCCAGGGTTTCAGGTTGCAGCCTGGGCTGTGGGGGAGAGGTGGGATGTGACAGGGCTGCAGCTCCACAATCTGCAATCGCTGTTTCACAATGTCCTCGGATGCTGGGGCTGAGGTCCCCTCTGGGTTTTCCTGCATTGCCACAAAAGCACGTGGACCTTTTCTTCACGTTGGCCGCGTGGCAGCAAGGTGACAGTGCTGGTGGCTTTCCTGGCCACTTGGAATGGGTTTGTGACCGTTGTCAGTGGACACTAGAGGCGTCAAGGACAATCCATGCCTAATGCAAGGAGTAGAAGTGTGGACTCTGCTGCCACCTTTCCCAGGTTGGACCAGATGATCTTTTGAGATCACTCCCAGCCCGGGCTGTTCCGGGATTCCCATCTGTGCTGTAATCTCTTGCAGTCTTATCTTCGAAGGAGGTTAACCCACGATTACCTCCTCACCACAGACACGTAAGCGAGACTCGTTCTGCCCCGCAGAAGGAAGTTGTGAGAAGGCAGAGATGTCTGCAGTAGGTTTGGGGTGCCTTGGCCCCACTGCCTCTCCTGATTGAGTCATGGACACACATGTGCCTCCTTTTCTTTGCCAAGGCTGGGAGGGACTGGGGAGCAGAGGGAATATGAAGCCAGCAGAGTGGGGTGTGTTGTTGGCTTTGGGGTTGGCAGGGGTGACACCAGGCAGTAACAGGGTGGTGATTCACCAGGAGCACCTTGTCTGCACTGCAGCAGAAGCATGGCAGTGCTCCCTTCCTCACACTTCAGTAAGGACACTGTACACAATACTAACCTTCCTGCTTCTTCCCCTTTAGGAGATGAATTAAAATGCAGCACACCACGTGCACAGAGGACAGGATCTACCACGCACTGGAAAGATGTCTACATGGGCTTAGCAGAGATGCTGTCTCCAGCAGATGGGCTGGTAGGTGACCTGTTAACCATGAGCTTGTTCTTCTGTGTGATCTGCTGACCTACCTGGGCACCTGGGTAAGAGAGAGCTGCTGGTGCTGCTGGGGGTTTGGAGGCCTTTTTCCCTTCCAGTGTTCCAAGTTATATGCGGGATCCAACCTAGTCAGTCTTCCTGGGCCTTTTGCTGTGGTAGGATGATGTTCCAAGACACTGAACAAGTCATGTTAGGTCTTACCTGTGTAAAGGCTCAGCAGAGAAGTCGTGCGTGTTGCCAGCTGTCCATGCGTGAGCGGAGGGAGGAGGAGTCTTTGCCCACCACGGGGAAGGATTCCAGTGAAGGGAGGAGGAGTCTTTGCCCACCACAGGGAAGGATTCCAGTGAAGGGAGGAGGAGTCTTTGCCCACCACAGGGAAGGATTCCTTTGTGCAATCAGCCAGCCTTGCTTGGATGCTCATAGACCCCAAACCCATGGGTGTGGTCTCTGCTCCGTTGCTGGAAGCAAGCACAGAGATATTGTTACTGACTTGATTTAAACCTGGGTCAGATACTGTGGTGGCTGTAAAGAGGTGAGCCACGTTCAGAGGGCTTTGAAGGGATTTGGGATGACGGTGGTGAGGGCAGAGCAGCAACGAGCAGAGGTAATTTTTGAATGTCATTTTGACCTTTCTTCCTCATGCTCGTGTTTGTGAGATGCAATTAAATCACTCCTAAATCCTCTTATGGATGAAAGAACTGAAGTGAATTTGAGGGGCTGTCAAATTCAGGTTCCTTTTTGTCTTTGCAGTTCTTTCAACCCTTTCTGCTTTTCTTTTTAGCTATAAGTCAACAAAGAGATGCAAATAGTGTCCCAACTGCTGCCAAATACCAGAGTAATCCCTTTTGCCATGCCCATTTCCTCACACCCGCTGTAGCAGTGCCAGGTGATGCTGTAGCTGTAGCATCATTTGGGGTCTTGGTTCATGCAGTTATGACCAAGACTCCTGTGTCCTTTTCATCTCCCCATGCTCTGGGAACCAGGCCCTGAAGTGTGACCTACATTCCTGGTTCCTGGCACCGTGACAGCGCGTGTCCAAAGGAGTCCCATCTCGCCCAGCGAGTCATTGTGCTCTGCAGAACTCACCTCTTCCTGTAATTACGATTAATCAATTCCTGTGTCACTCACAAGCTCCTAATCCCAGCCCCTCAGAGCTGGTGTTTGAGTTAGGGAAGCCTTTAAACAACGACTTTGTAATTTTTCCGGCTCATTAGCGAAGACCAGACTGTACAGGGCAGGGACTGGGGGTGGTGGGCTCTGCTGGAGGCAGCTGTGCTGCCCAGGGATTCCTCATTCCTAATGATTTCCCCCCATCTCTCCGCCTGCTGGTTCTCAGTCCTCTTCATGTGGGTTTTGTGGGGTTTGGCAGAATGACCTGGCATTCCTGGGAGAGTCTCCGGCGTGTTACACATCAGAAAGTCCCCTTTCATCCAAGGCATTTGTGCTCTTGCCAGCACTCTCCAGCGTGACCAGCGCTGCCCGTTTCCGCACCGTTAATGGCTCTGCTGTGCCCTGGCCCAGGTTCTGCTGCTGGGGACGCCCCAGGGCAACCCCTCCAGTGCCTTCCCATGGGGGCTGTCCCTCGTTTTAACGTGCTGCTCTTTCACATCCTACCCCCTTGCAGTCGGAGTAGGAAGTATTTGCAGTAACATGTACGATTTAGGGAAAACAGAGCACGGTGCACCCACGCCCCATAGCAGGGCATCCTATTGCTTCTCAAAAACAGAGCAGAAATGTTTTCACATCCTTCTGCCTTCCCCATGTTACAGGCAACAGTTTCATTATCCCTGTTCTGTGTCAGATCCAGACTGTTATTTGTGGCAGGGTTGTTCCTCATGTAGTCAGTGAATACTTCTGTCTTGTTCCTAGCTGGGCCGTAACCTTCTCCTCTTTCATTTTTAACTTCTTGCGTCACTTCTATTTCCCAATTTATTGCTTTCCCCTCCTTTTTACCATTTCCGTACACCAAAATAGCACACACCACATTGCAGCTCTTTGGGCTGAGGCCTTGCTAGGGTTTTGTTCATTTTTAAATTATTTAATGATTTATCTGAAAATTCTACAGGAGGTTGCCCCAGAGTGGGTGAGTAATCGTTTCCGAGGCGTTGTTTCCCCCCCGTGTAAGTGACTGAGTAGCTGAGGTGTGTGAAGGCAGCAAAGAGAAGAAGTTGTGAGTCTTTGGCCATCCCAGATTTATACTCTGGATGAGCCCATGGCCAGCCCTGGGGTCTAAATAGAAGATCTTTCTGTAGAGTTTATTGGAGGGACCAAATTAAAATGAGTTGTCTGTGACTCATAAAAATCCCTGTTAGAAAAGTGCTTGGAAGGACAACCCCCTTTTCCTCATGGAGACCCCTTTCAGGGTTTGCCTGGTTCCTGTTGCTGGAGAAAGACCAGTGTCAAATTAGAGTGTGATAAAGGAAGAAACATATTTTACTTCTTGCTGGTGAGCAGAGAAACAGGGAGCTTTTGGTGAAGGAAAGCCCTGGTCTTGGGTCTGACTGCTGGCACTGCTGGGAATGCCATGCTGGAAATCAGAGGTGGGAGAGAGGCCAGAGGATTGTGGTGGATGGGACTTGTTGAAAAGTCTGGAGAGCAGCCCAGTGCCTGGAAGGAGCACTGGGATCTGCTGGGAAGGAGATGTTGGGTATCTACCACAGGGCTCCACATGGGTCAGAGAGGATGATGGATGCTGGTGAGGGAGAGTGGAAGAAGGTCACTAGTGAGCTGGACAGTGTCTCACATGGTGCCCAGAAATTCAGTGTGCTCAACTCTAAAAAAGAGAAACTTAAGATCCTGTTCCATTGCATCTAAATACCCTCAGGGGAGAGGAGCAGTCTGGTGTGGGGCTCCTCCAGCTTCGTTACTGAGTGGTGAAATGCAGTGTCTGAAATACTTCCAGCTCGGGGGGCAGAATTATGGTTACTGGTTACTAAACCTGGCAACCTTTAACTTTTGAGCTGATTTCTCCAGGCTTGTCATGGGTTTTCTTGCCAAAATCACTGCCCAGGGTGGAAGTGCTTGGAGTGGCTCCAGCCCTGGGAGGTGCCCCTGTACCCTGCTGCTGGATATCCATATTCCATATCTAAGCAGCTGCTTGGATATGGAAGCTGTGGGTTGGATTGATGTGCAGTGCAGGATGTATCCCAAGGGGATGCTGTGGCTGCGAGGCTTGGACTGTCCCCTGTCCTCCGGGCACCTCCTGCCCCTCCTTACAAACTGCTGTGAGTCGACCCTTCCTCTGGGCAGTCCCTTGGAGGAGCCACCTTCTTCTGGGGAGGTCGTAGGGGAAATGGTGGGAGAGGGTCTGGGGGAGGGAGGAAAGGGGGCTGTTTGCTTTTCACCCCTCCAGCTGTGTCACTTTGGACAGCACCAACACCTGATGCCCAGCCCAGGCGCCGTGGGCAGCTTGGGCACGATGTGGCATTTCTGCTTTATTTCTCTCCTTTTCTGACTTGACGGTTGCCCACTACAAAGAGCAGCGGAGGGGAAATGCCACCCCCTCCACGAGGCCAGGAAGGAGCTACTCTGGGAGGAGGAGGAGGAGGAAGAGGGCATCTCGGTGCACTTCTCAGAAAAGAAATGGCAAAGCCTCATCCTTCCGAGGCCGCCCACGGGGCCGCTGCTGCCCGGGCTGTTGGCACCGATAGCGATCAAAGCGTGAGTGGGGGCTGTGCCCGGGCTCCCTCCCGGCACTGGGGGCTCGGTGCAACCCCTGCCCAGCACCCCCTCCCTGCTTGGAAACTTTGCTGTGGTCTTTGCTCTCCCAAAGGGAGGTTTTCCTTTGGGTCTGTGTCACGCTGGGCTCAGTGGAATCGCGCTCTGTTGGATGCTGGGATAGGCACGGCTTAGTCCTGCTCTTGCTGCGGCTCCACGTGCTGCAGCCCCAGGTTCTCCCAGCTGGGGACATGATGTGTTCTGGGCTGCCTGTGTTGCTGGCAGATAAATCTGACTCATTTTCCATGTTTTAAGAAAAAATAAATAGTGCTGGGTCACTGGTTTAGTGAAGCAAAACCGGATGGATGAGCATGAGGGCAGGGTGGATGTCAGCAGTTTTTTAGCTGTGAGGCTTCCTGTTGCCCTGCCGGGAGGTCTCCTGTGCCTCTTGAAACAAATTCATTGGATTTAGGGGCTGGAAGGTGGAGTTCAGGTTTGTGCTGCCTGTACAAAGGGTGTCTATAATGCTGATCTGAACACCTCTGGAGCCGGTCTCAAAGGACTGCTCTCCTTTGAGGCGTTGAGGGATTTGTGAACATGATTTTACTTCCCACTTCCCTCAGCCAAGAGGCTCCTTTCTGAGCTCTGCAAACCCTGCCTTGCCATGGGCTTGGGTGGGTGAGGTGAAGTGTTTCCCTCCAACACAGAACTTCCTGGACCTGGCACAGCTCCACAGACTGGAGGTGATGGGGAGCTCAGCCCCTGCTTGCAGTGATGGCAGGGAGCATCCCTGCACTCGCCTTGGAGACTCTCCAGGGCATCTCTGACCTTGCACCCTCCACACAGACTCGGGGCCTCCCTTGCATCTCCTAGTGAAAAATGTTTTTTGGTAATTAAAGAGCAAGTGCAAAATTCAGGGGAAAGCCTGGTTCCAGCTTCCCGCATGCCCTCGGTGCACATCTACCCTTGTCCACCCCGGGACAGGGAAGGTGCCCAGCATGGTCTGGTGCTGCTGGCACAGTGGGACAGATGCAGCTTGTCTTTGTGCTGGTGCTGCTCTGGCCTGGTGTAAAACATCACTGCTGAGTTGTCCCTGTGGTTGTTGTGCCTGGTCCTTTGTGGTGACACAGTTCAGTGTTGCAGCAGAGCAGCAATGTAACGTCTGCTGGGGCGTGTTGAGGTGAGGGGTGGCTGCAAATAAACCTGTCTGGAAACCTTCTCACCTGGCTGCAGCCTCTCCCTGGCCTGGGGATAAGCCAAGTGCTGCTCTGCAGTTCATGAAGTCTCCGGGTGCCACCACAGGCCCAGCTGTGTCCCACAGGGACACAGGACATCTGCAGAGGGACAGAGAGAACTTCTTACCTTGGGCTTTTGTGCCTAACCTGGGCACATTAAGAGCATCACCTTCCCTGCCCAATAACCTTTTTGGTCTGGGTGCAGGGGATGTGGTTGCAGGGACTAACTCTGTTCCCAGTGGTGGGAAAGTGGGTGGTTGTGACCTGCACTGTGAGAGGAGAGAAGGGAATTCCCACCCAGGTCTGGATCCCTGTCCTGACTGATGCCTGGCAGTGCTGGACACTTCACTTTGCTGTGTGGTCTTTGTTTATTGTGTGCAGGATTTCCGAGCTGCATTTTGTGCTTGAGACTATTTTTGCAAGGGTACAGCTGTTTTGGTGTGTCTCTGGTTAATGCAGCTGTGCCAGATTTAGGAGCTCGGATCCTGGCAGCCTGCTGCTTCCCAGCACCGAGTAGCTTAATCCCAGAGCCTTGCTATGTCCATGAGTTAAACAGAAATTTGATTATAGCGATATCATTCAAATATACCTGATTGTATCCTGGAGCTTCAGCTCATAGCTCCTGTAGAAGACCCAAAAATGGGTGAGAAGACCTCAGGTCTGAATCACAGAATATGCTGAGTTGGAAGGGACCCATAAGGATTCAGTCCAACTCCTGGCCCTGCACAGAACACCCCAACAATCCCCCATGTCCAAACACTCCTTGAGCTCTGGCAGCCTTTGCACCATGACCACTGCCCTGGGGAGCCTGTTCAGTGCCCAACCACCCTGTGGGGGGAAGGACCTTTTCCTAATACCCAGCCTAACACTGCCCAGACACAGCTCCAGCTGCTCCCTCTTATGTTTGTTCCTTTACGCTATGTTTGTAAGATGCCTCCATTGAGCTTTGCCCTTGCCCCTGCTCCCTGCCCATCCTCCCAGCCTCTCCACAGTGGGTTTGCCCCAGTTTCCCCCAGGGGAAGTAGCCCAGTGCCTCTCCCTCTGCCCCATTCAGCACAAATGACTCTGTGAGCCGCTGCCACCGCAGTTTCCTCCTCCCTCGCTACAAGTGAGAGGAAGGAAAGAGCCCACGTCGTGCTGGGCTGTTGGTGTTTGTGGTTATGGTTGTGCAGGATGCTGTGTTCTCCTCTCTGGGAGATGCTCCCCTGTGGCCAGGCTTTGTCCTTGGCAGTGTAGCAGGGCCAGAGTCTCACAGGTGAAACAATCATGGAATGGTTTGGGTTGGCAGGGACCTTAAAGATCATCTCATTCCATGCCCTGCCATGGGCAGGGACACCTTCTCTATCCCAGGTTGCTCCAAGCCTTGTCCAACCTGGTTTTGGAAACTCCAGGGCTGGGGCAGCCACAGCTTCTCTGGGCAACCTGTGCCAGGGCCTCCCCACCCTCACAGGGAAGAATTCCTTCCCAGTATCCCATCTAACCCTGCCCTCTGGCAGTGGGAAGCCATTCCCCTTGTCCTGTTGCTTCAGGCCCTTGTCCCAAGTCCCTCTCCAGCTCTCTTGGAGCCCCTTTAGGCACTGGAAGGGGCTCTAAGATAAGTAATCCTCCCTGCTGGAGCAGGATGGGTTTTTTCAAGGCACCATGTGAGCCCAGAGACTTCTTGCCGAGGTCAGCAAAGCTCCCGGCAGCTCTGACCACTTCTGCTGGGCCAGTTGCTTACTTGACTATCTCCCAGGTGCAGGAGCTTTCCCTGGAGGATGCCACGCTCTGGGACAATATTGATTTATTTGGGCAACCTGCTGGAGTCATCCCAGCTGATCTGTGGCTTTGTGGCATCCGCTGGTTTATGGAAGTGACTCAAAGGAAAACTGGAGCATTACTGAATTCCTGGGTCACTGGGGCTGTTCCCTCACTGACAAGATATCACAGTATCTTGGTGGGTGTCAGCAAACCCAGTAAGATACTGTGAGTACTGGAGGCAAATTAGAAAGTGCATCTGAGCTGCTTGGAAACTTTCCAGAGGGATCTTTCCTCCACTGGAAAATGTTGATTCATTGAAAGTAAAAAGTTGTGTGGCAGCCCAGGGGATTTCCCTGGGGGAAGTCTCCTGGCCTGTTAATTCAGCTATAAAACTGGCATAAAACCACAGAAATAGTGCATGTCCTGGTGAGCAAACACTAGTCTACAAGTCTGGTTTTGCAACCTCAGCACTAGTTTTACTTGTCTTGACATTGGTCTTCTCCCACTGGGCCATGTCACCCTTCTCCCCTGGTTTAAATTCCTCTTGCTTAGCACCCAGAAGGTGTGTAAAGGTATTTTTATGACATGTCTGTGTTTGATGAATCTGTAGCCTCTGCAGTTGGGAATAATGTTTGAGGGCCAGACAATGTGATCTGTAGGTTTGTGCTGGACTGCTGTCCTGTGCCAGCTCATGGTGTTCTCTCCCCTGCTCCAGCTTGGGTTGATGTTTATATCCTGGGCCACTTAATAGACTGTGTGAGTGAAATCCATTTGATTTATATTATTTTTCCTCTCTGATCTTTAGCACCTCTTCTCTGCAGTGAGAGATGCTCTCTTAATCTTGCTTTCTCTTTCGAGCTGAGACTGGGAGAGCCCCAATTCCAGCACCCCCTGAACTGTGCCATGGGCTGCAGGTGAGCTGTGTAGTGTCCACCCTGCACCCCCTTCTGCTGGAAAAAATCCATAGCAATGCAGGATGGGGGAGATGCCAATGTGGGCCTTTCCCAGGTATTTGTTAGGCTGTTTGCTTGAAGTTTTCCTGTAACGTTTCTCCCTGGGGCTGTGTGGGGTACCCAGGTCCCTGGGAAGGAGGAGGAAGAAGGGGAGCAGGAGGTGCTACTCCCTCCTTGCTCTGCAGATCCTGGACTGCCGGCGGCCAGCAAGCACCTCCTCCTCCCCTGGGACCTGGGACTGGGATGAATGGAGGCAGCCTGACAGCCTTCACACAGATCATTTCCTCTAAGGCCCTCTGGGAGGTGGCCCTGACCGCTGAGAAGAACGTCGGGAAACACCTTGGGCCATTGTCACCAGTCGGATCCCAGCAGATGTCTGGGGGAAGGAGGTCGGGGGGTTTCACTCCACTGGGGTGAAGGACCCACCACCATCCCTTTGCATGGCAATTCTCTTCTTTTGCTCTGCCTAATCTTCTGGTGGGGTTTTAAGAGATTTAATGAAAATTTGAAGGTGCCAAGAGATGGACTAAATGCTGGGCAGGCTCGACAGCAAAGCAGATTTGTGTCTGCTGACTGCGGTGGTGCTGCTGTGTTGGTGCATCTCCAGGGCCCGGGGAAGCTGGACGGGTGTGATGCAGCTGGAGGGGATTGAATGTCTGCTGACAGGAAGCTGAATTTGGCAAGATTTGAGTGAGTTTATAGTTGGGATTGTGCATCTGGGGTGTTTGAGCCGGGGGGCGGCAGGGCAAGGGGTTGCACTGGTGGGTTATCTGTGCCTGGGCAGAGGGAACGTGGGTTCCACCCGTGCCCGGCACATCCCTCTGACCTCTGCACATGCACGTGGCAGCTCTGACCTGTCAGTTACCCAGCTGGCACCTGGGGAGAGGCATCCAGCCAGGCTGGGTGTGTTGGGCTGTGAGAACACAAAGGTGCTCAGGTACGAAGCGGTGCTGCTGAGACGAGCACCCTTGTTTGAGGTCAGATCTGTCTAGAACCAGGGCGTGAGGTTTTTTCTTCTGCTGTAATCTGATGCCTGTGGTCGACACCTTCCTCCCTGACCCCTTCCCATTGTTCCTCTCTCTCGTGACCTCCTTGAATGGGGGCTGTGACAGTGGCTCTGTGTCCCCCACAGCAGGGCTGTGCCTGAACTGCTGGAGCCTGCAGGAGCTGGTGAGCCGAGACGCTGGCAACTACCTCATCCTCGTGGAGAAGATCCTTGGCAAGACCAAAGAGGTGAGCTGGGGGGGCTGTCAGGGAGGGCTGTGGGCTTTGAGACATGGTCAGCTCTGTGGCTTGCCCAAAATGGAGTTTTGCTGAGCTTGCTGGGTGATTTTGGGTTGTGGTAAAGTGTTGCTGGAGCCCCAGGGCTTGGGGTCAGGCGGTGTTATGTCAGCAGGTACAGAACTCTGGTGAGAGTAATACTGTGTCTCCCACATGAGAACTACAAGGGAAAAGCCCAGCTATGATATCTGTTCTTTGGGTAGCACTGCAGATCCACAGGGGTGGGTTTTGACTCCCCAAAGTGCTGCTGGGGCACCATGGGGCTGCACGGATGGAGCCAGCCTTCCCCAGGCCTTCCCCAGCCATCAGCTGGGAGCTGCTGGTCCAGAGCAGAGCAAATTGAACAGTTCCTGTTGCTTTGGATGGAAACTTCTGTGTATCCCTGCCGGGCTTCCTGTGGAGCTGCGACACTGAGGACCACGGATGGGGTTTGCAGCCCAGCAGGTGACAGTGGGGTGAGGCACAGCAGGGAGGTGAAGTGGCAGTGGGGCCAATCTGTTGACCTGCTGTGGTCCCACCATGTGCCAGAGAACCTCAAGGCATCGCTGGCTGAGCAGGGTCATCCTAGACTGTGGCAGGGAAGGCCTTGGAGGAATCCCTTGATGTGGCAGGAAACAGTGATGTGTTTCCTAAATCCCCAGCACTGGGATTCATGTGATGGGTAAATGCTGCCTTTCATTTTTTTGGGGAAGAAAGGCTGCAGAACTGATAGCAGTTAAGTTTAGCACAATTTGGTTACGTTCATTTATGTATTTTTGTAATGGTTGGAATTGATCTTGTTGCAGAGAGTGGTTTATTACATTAGGGTTTATTGTAGGGGTTTATTGCACTTTGTGCTGTGCTCATGAACGAGGGGAGACTGTCTGTAAGTGTATCCTTGAGCCATCACTGTGTCCCTCAGTGAAATAGTTCTGCTGGGTATTCCCTGGCAAAGCCTGGGATGCAAATACATGGATTTCACTGTGCTGGTGAGCTTTGCAAGCTGTTTGCAGGGGCTGGGCTGCCTCCCTGCCTCTCCTGGCTGCCTGCTTTGAGGCACTTCCATGGAATTTCATGGAACTGTGCAAGGATCAGGAACATCAAAGGGCTGGGAGCTTGGCCAGATCTGAGCAGAGGAGGTTGTGCTTATCTCTCTGTCCCATTGGTGTGGATTAGTGGGGCTTTAGGGGTTGTTTTCCTGTAGGATGAGGGAATTTGCTGGGCACGGTGGTGTGGTGGTGCAGGTTGGGTGCTCGGCTGCACTGCTGGGGAGTTCCCTGGTACCTCCAAGGATCCTTTTGGGTGGTGCTCATGGCAAGCAGCCCAGCTCATCCTCCCCCCCTCGGGCTGTTTCCTACAGGTGCAGGAGAAGTGCGACTACGACCTGGTGACGCCCCTGGCTCTGCTCTTCTACTCCGCCGTCCTCTGTGTAAGTGCTGAGGCTGCTCATGGAGCTGGATCCCAGCCCCAGGGAGGCCATGGAGCCACATGGAGCAGTCACTGAAGTCAGGGTGGCTTTGTCTGAAACACCACGGCCTGCTTTGATCAGTTCATCTCACAAAAAGATTCTGTACAAGTTGATAGAGATCAGGATCAAACAACCATTGCACAAGCTGACTGAAAAAAAAATGAGCTTCAGGATGTTTAAGCTATTTTTTAAAGGGTGGGCTAATCAGAAAGGGAGATGGACAATATCTCTGTGCAGAGAAGGGAAATTTTTTCATTACCTTTATACTTGTGCAAAATACATTGGCAGTGTGAATGAAAAGAAGGAGCGGAGCCTTCACAGGAAGTACTTTTTTTATTATTATTATTACTAGCACAATGCATCATTATCCCAAGGAAATCATTGCTGCCAGATCCTGCAAAAGCACAGGCTGTAATGCAATTCATCTGTATGTGTCTGTGGTGGTTAAAAAGGAATTTATATATAGGCTTTGGCACGTGAGCCACAGCCGGGAGGTTGGGAAGGTGCAGAGCGGAAGGAGCTTTCTTGGAGCTGTGCCCAGTGGGGATCCTTCGACCCTTCCCTGGGAGAAGATGGGGTGTCACAGGGTGAACCTCTGCTTTGCTTCTCCTCCTCCCACTTCCAGCCTAACCCCTCGAGTTTTTACACAGCACTTGCAGTTTGTGTCCTCGCTCCCTTTCTGACCGTGTCTCCCTGTGCCCCGCAGGCTCCTCACTTCCCGCCGGGCTCCGACCTGCTCCTGAAAGCTGCCAGTGTGTACCACAGCTTCCTGACCTGGCCTGTGCCCTACTGTGACATCTTCCGTGAGCTGCTCACCTTCATCAGCAATGAGCTGAGGGCCCCTGGTGAGCGCTCCTGCCCTGCACGTGCTGCTGCCACTGCTTCCCCAAAAACACCCCCTGCCTGCACTGCCCCTGTTTGCTCCCCTGGTGTTGCTGCCTCATTCCCCTCATGCTTCATGAGTCCTGTGAGTGTGGTATCCCCAGTTACCTTGGGCATCCCAAACCTCAGTTTTCCCAGGAGGTGAGGACTCTGCCCTGCATCCTCGGGGTGTGGTCCAGCACAGGGTGAGACCAGACTCCCCTGGAGGAGCAGGGCAGGGTGGTGGTTTTGGTGGCTGCCAAGGTGGTGGGAGCATCCTGGGGACTCCCAGCGTGGGGAATTAGCAAAATGGGTAACTATTTCCTGGCTGCCTTTCAGTCTGGTGGGTCTTTTCCATGGCAGAGCACGTGCTGGCTGCTCCCTCCCAGCCCTGGCCTTTGTTTGAGGTGCTCAGTGGTGCAACTGGGGTGATAACAGTGAGTCCATTCACTGGCATCAAGGTGGCTGGAGCCTCCGAGCCTGCCCTTGCGTGGAGATTTCCATAGGGCTGAGGGACTCCCTGGCTCGTTCTTTACAGCCCAGACACTACCTTGTGATCCAGCTCTGGCCACATCCAGCAGCAGCAGCAGCGTTCCCCTTAATTAAGGACTCCTCCTAGATGTCCTGTTGTTCCCAATGGAGCAGCTCTTCCAATTATTTCTAAAAGGCCCTTTTTCCTAATCTCCCAGTCTTTTGGTGGCTTTTGAAGAGCTGTTATCACACAGAGCAGATTCCAGCCCGTGTTTAATCCTGTGCAGGGCCATGGCAGCAAGACCTACTCTGAGGAGGGTTTGAGAGGCCTTGGAAGGGGGTGTGGGCTGTGGCTGAGGCTGGGGGTGCTCCCCACCTCCTCAGACTGGGAAGCTGCTTCAGAGAGCCCTGGTGAGGATGTGAAATGCAGGGTCTCTGTCATGGCAGCAGCATCCTGTGAGATGGGAGCTTGTAGGTGTAGGTGGGATGAAATGTGCTTTCAAATGAATGAAAGGATGAAAAAAAAAAACCCCAGACCCTGTGCATTGTGAGCACTGGAATGGCTGCTTTACCCCCAGCATAAATGGCCATGGCCACCAGGCAGGGTCTGGTTGAGTCAGGGCTGTTTTACACACTGCTGGAAAGCTCCAGTGCTGGGGAGGGGGGGCTGCTACACCCTGCTCTTGTGCCATCACCACATCACCAGTGCCCAGTGCTGAGTGAGCTGGGGACTTTGGTCCAAAACCTTTCCCCTCCTGTGAGCATAATGGATTCCCCACCCCTGCCCAAGATGCCATGTGGGAGGCATTGGCTGCAGTGGCTGAGGAGCCCAGTGCTGCCCCTCACCCTGGACCCCCCTCAGCTGGACCCAGAGCCAGCAAGAGCGTGTCCTGTCCTGGTAAGCTGGCCAGGGCCTTACGGGCTCTTCCAGGCTTGTTGCACGGCCTCTGTGACCTGCTGTGAGGCTGAAGCAAAAGCTTTTTATTGAGATGAGGGTAAATATTAACTGAGAACAAGCTGTTGTCAATATTTGCCAAGAATGCAATAGCTTTGATCTGCTCACTGGGGCTGGTGCCTCTGCAAGAAGGGTGAATGCTGCTGTCATCAGGGGGCCTGTGTGATCAACCTGAGCCCCCCCTGGGTGCTGCTCCCAGACTGCTGAGCTGGGTTGGGATGCGGCTGCCTGCACTGATAAGGGGGCAGGATCTTGTTGATGCCATAAGATCTTTCCCAAGATGTGCCCCAATCCTGCTGTTTGGGGGAGACACTGGCTTTGCTGTTCCCACCCAGTGCAGATCCATCTGATGTCACCTGGTTTGGGTTCCCAGTGGCATCCTGGGGACAATCCCAGGGAGGCATCCAGGGCTGTGGCTGCCCACACCAACCTCTCTCCTGGTGGGGCCAGTCTGGGCTCCACCTGTGGGAGGGAAGGTGGCAGTGACCTCCTGACCATAAGTGACATCAAGGGTCTGGGGGGCTAAAGCAAGTGGGAAAAGCTGCCAAATCCATGGAATTCCCATCCCACATCAGCAGTAGAGCAGAAGGGACCAGAGGTGGAGCAGTTCTCCTGTCTCATCCGTTGTTTTCCCATCACTCTGGGCTTTTACCCTTTACCTCCCAAGCTTCCTTGTTCCTGGGCTGGTCCCTTTACACTATGGCTGTGTCTTGTCTCTGTGAGGACTTTTGGTGGGGCCATTCCCATTCCAAGCAGCAACTCAGCCATGTCTGCACTACACTGGGAGGCAAAGTCGATGTGCTGTTGAGGCAGAACAGTCTGCAGTGGTTCCATTCCTCATGTCCTGTGCTCTCTCCCCAGGGATCACTTTCCAGAGGCTGGTGAGGACAGAGCAGGGGCTGCCTGTGAAGAACTACCAGAGCTCCACTGTGTGAGTGTGGCCATGGGCACTGCTGGTCCCCTCTGTGGCACCCCCACGCTCTGACACTGAGCAGCATCTCAAAGGGGTCGTGGTGGGTGCTGGGGAGAAGGGCTGGATAGTTGGACTGAGCTGTGGGAAGGGATGAGGAAAGTGGCTGTAGCATTTCCACAGCCGTGGGACTAGGTCTGTGGACTCCCCAAGCCAGTTATCCTGCAGGACTGCTTAACTCTAGGGCTGCAGATCTGGGTGACAACAGCTGGGGAAGGCAAAGTCTCCTCCACAGGGAGCTGCTGATCTCAGCACACATTGGAGAACAGCTGGGAAATGCTGTGATCTGTGAGTTTGGGAGCCACCACCCCAACAGGGGGCAGAAGCAAGTCCATCCCAGTCCCAGTCCAGTGCTGGATGAAAGCCTTGCAGCTCTGAGCACAAGTCAGACTTTGCTCCTTGTTTGAGGGCTGAACCTTTTTCCCTACCAGGGCACCTCATTTGTAAATAGGGAAACAAGCCTTGGGTGGTGTCTGCTGTCCTGGCTGAGCCCAGCCTCAGGGACAGTCCTTCAGGCACAGCCACTCTGTGCAGGAGGAGTGTCCTTCTCTTTTGGCTTGCCCACTCACGCCGTGCAGCCCTGGATCTGCACCCTTATCTCACCCAGCAGCGCTGGTGTATTGGCTGTATTTTCATAAAGAGCCCTGAAAACCTAGCACAGGTTATAGAATCCTAAAATATCCTGTGTTGGAAGGGACCCACAAGGATCATCAAGTCCAGTTCCTGAACTCTGGGCTTACTGGAAGCTCGTGCCCGTTGCCTGAGCTTTCTAGATCCAAGCACACCCCAGCACATCCTTAATTCAGAGCCAGTTTTGCTCACTGGACACTGAGTGCTGTTGCCCATGAACAGAAGCACGTGCTGTCTGGGCTGCAGGTTTGGGAATTCAAAGCCTGTGGATATTCATGTTGTGGTCTGGAGCAAAAATGCAGCTGAAGAATGTGGCTCTTCTCCTTAAAGCTTCTTCTCTGACCTGCATCTTGGAGGAGAAAGACAGTTTAGGGGCCCACTTCATCCCGTGTCCAGTTAGAGCAACTGGCTGCTGGGCTGGAGCCCTGCCTGGGGTTCACCACCAGTGTCCAAGCCTGGCCTAACTGGTGTCCCCTTGTCCCCAGGACGGTGCTGCTGCTCAACCGCTCCGAGGTGCAGAGCGAGTTCCTCTCCATCGCCGAGAAGCTGAGTGCCAGTGAGCACCCCCAGCACGCCACGCTCGTCCTGCTCCTCGAGCACCTCTACCAGGCCAACTTTGGCACCTGCTGCGACCTGGACAGCCTGCACCACCTCCTGAAGGTAGGCTGGGACAGCCCGGCTTTGGGGATGCCGCTGAGAGCAGTTTCGTGCAGTTGGCTGCTGGATTTCCTGACCAAAATAGTACATAATTGGCAAAAGAAAAGAAGTTTTGATAACACTTCTTGTAGGAAAGATACATGTCTTTCACTTCTCAGGTCAGACCTGAGGTCTGCGCTTGGGTTTTGTGAAGTGTGCGTGGGGGGGGGGGGTCACTTGCCTTTTACCCTGTTCCTCCTTTCTCCATCCCTAAGTGTAGAGAGGAAGGGCCCCCAGATTTGAAGTGCAGCAAAAGTGTTTGTTTGACCGGAGAAACGCTTGGAGGAGAGGCAAAAAATTTTGAAGAAAACCCCTTGGGTGTTTTCAAACACGCTTTTATTTTCATCGCTAAAGTTTTGGCCGACTTGAAAGGGGGTAGAGGGCGGTGGAGGGAGAGAGTTCCCCAGTTTGTGATCCTACCCAAGGACCTGTGTGTTGCCTGTTTGGAGGGAACCCCTCAGTCTCTCACCCTGGCTCTGCTCCCCCAGTCCAAGACGCTGGATGAGCTGTCGGAGATCTACTCCAGTGCCGCCGACGCGCAGGAGATCGCGGCCGCCAGCAGCGACCCCGGGCTGGCCCGGGAGCGGCTCCAGTCTGTGCTCAGGGACATCGCTGGGGCCGCCTCCTTTCCTGCCATCACGGGTGAGAAACCCCCCAGGCCCCTCTTTTCTCCAGGGTGTTCTGCAGGCTCAGCCCCTGCAGCAGCAGCAGCAGCGAACATTTTGCACCAAGTCTCGACCGAGCGAAAAAACTACAACAAAAAAAGCACCGACCCAGGTCCTGCTTCGTAACCACACAATGAGCCAGAAAAGGTTTCATTAAAACAGCAACAAAACAAATTGTCCAGCCTGTATGGGTGAGATGAAAACATTAAATCAGAAACTGCTGGTAGCTGTGATGTCTGATGGCTCTTAGGGGTGTGAAATGTCCCCTCATCCCCTTTGCATGTGACTGGCATCATTGGTGTTCAGCATGACCTGGGCTGCCCAAAATGTGTGCGTGGGGTGGGTGGCATCTCCCACCAGGAGAGGCTGGCAGGGGTGGTGTTGGGGATCCTTGGAAACTAAGTCCTCTCCCTCCTCTCTTCCCAGGTGAGGCTCAGCCCCACAAGCTCCACACCATCCCCATCCCTGCCGCCCGCTGCTACACGTACAGCTGGGACCAGGATAACTTCGGTAAGTGGAGGGGGTCCCCCAGTCATCCCACTGAGACCACAGCCTTCTGTTCCCCATTCCAGGGGTGACTGAGCAGCGTTTCAGCTTGGCTGGGGCTGCCACATCCAGCTGGGTGTGTGAAAGAGCTGATAAAACATTGTTGGTGCTGGAGGGAGAAATGACCCAGTGGGTGTCAGTGTCCCCTGGATGGGACAGGATGTGGGTGACAGCTCAGGTGTGATGCCTGCTGTGATCCCAAGCAGAGGGCACAGGACACTGGTGGCCCCAAATCACAGTTTTCCAGAGACAAATCATGCAGGGCTTAATCTCCTGGGCAGGGTTGTACCTTGCGTTAAGCCGGAATAAATTCATTGCACCCAAGTCCATGGGAATATTGGTAGGACAAGACATTGTTTGGTAGGAAGCTCCTCTGCAAGGAGGAAACCTTGCTTATGCCCTGGAAATAATTGTTGCTGGGAAAGCCTGACTGGGATACTGAGACTTTGTGGAATTGAGACTGGCCAGACCTGACAGCTCTTCGCCTCCTCAGCAGGGATGGCCAAGGAGTGGGTGCCTTTGCTGTGCTCTCAGCCTGGCCACAGCAGTTTTGGAGGGGAAGCAGCGGGTTCCCCTTCTGCCAAGCTGGTCTCTCCAGCTTCCCCATTCCTGGAAGACCTTGTGTGTTCCTGTGAATGTTCAGTGGTCATTGCCTGCTGGCCCCAGCAAGCTGGAGTAGAGCTCTGGCTCAGGCTTTGCAGTGAGTCCAGCCTTGCCAGGAAGCCACAGTGGGTTCATTTTGGGGTTTGATCAGCTGAATACCTGGTTTTCCTCCTGCCCTCTGGTTAAACCTGGAGTGCATTGTGAAAGCTGTATAGGAAGGAAGCAGAAGCCCAAGGGGTGTTTGCCTTTTGAGAACCCAAACAGAGTGTGACCTTAGGGAGAGAAATACGTTTTGTTTTGCGTTGCAACTGAGCACTTTAAGGAAATCTGAAAACATTCAGGAGGAGGTTTCCAGCTCCTTGTTTGAAGCCATGCAGGATCAAAGAGAGTACTGGCCATGACATAGTGGTGGTGTTGTCTGGGACCATCACATCCGGGGCCATCACAAATGCAGTGGTTCTGCTGGAGCCCAGGTGGATCTGCCTCTGGTTGCCTTTCAGATATCCTCAATGATGTCCTCAGCAAGGAGTGCAGCGTTGTGGAGCCCATGGCCTCGGAGAACGAGGAGGAGGATGAAGAGGAGGAGGATGTGGAAACCGACGGCTGCTCCCCTGAGCGGGACTCGCTGCTTTCCCCCCTCTGTGCCATTTCCAGTGACTCCGTGTACTCTGTGCTGTCAGAGGAGGGATCTAAGCCCTCGCGAATGTCCCTCTTCACCTCCTCCAAGGACTCCATCTCGGAGCTGACAGTGGTCTCCAGAAAGTCCCTGAAGTCGTTCGTCTCCAGCCTGAAGGACTGCATGGACAGCGGGTACGCAGAGGACAGCGACGAGAGCTCCCTGGACATGGTGGGGAGGACGGAGCTGAAGGCGGAGAAGGCCCACCACAAATACAGGCAAACTCTGACCACCAAGATCTACAGACTGTTCAAGAGCAAAAGCCAGCTGGTGCTGAGGAGGGAGCTGAAGGACTGCCCGGACACGGGCTCGCTGTCGCTGCCGCTGCGCCGTGCCGAGAGCCTGTGCGCGTCGCAGGCCCGGCTGCGCGTCCCGGCGCGCTCCCGGCGCGCGCACTCGCTGCCGCAGCACGTGCTGAGCCAGCGCCTGCCGGCCCCGCTGGCCCCCCGGCACCTCAGCCTGCCCCGGCGGCCCTTCCTCAGCTACGACGAGGACACCAAGGTGTCCACCCTGCGTGTCGTGGTGTTCGGCTCCGACCGCATCTCGGGGAAGGTGGCCCGAGCCTACAGCAACCTCAGGTGAGCCGGGAGGTGCGGGGTCTGACCGTGGGGACCTGGCCCTGCTGGGACATTCCCCGCTGCTCTGCTCACCCAACCCTCTCCACCTTCTCCCAGGCTCAAGGAGAGCACCTGCCCCTCACTGACAAGGTACTTCAAGCTGCAGTTTTTCTACGTCCCGGTGAAGAGGAGCTGCTTGGCTCCCTCGACGCCCCTGATGCATCATCCCTCCCCAGCCCTGGGGGACCCACAGCTCCGGGCACAGGTAGGTGTCCTGCTCACCACGGGGCTTGTGGTACCAGGGCTGGCAGGGCAGGCTGGGGGGAGCCTGGGGGGCCCTCGGAGTGACCCCAGTGTGTGTGGTTTCAGGATCCCACCTCGGCTGGGATGGAGAGCAGCACTAACGACATCTCCCACTACATCGGTGTGTTGGACCCATGGTACGAGCGCAACGTTCTTGGGCTGATGAACCTGCCCATGGACGTCCTGTGTCAGGTACGTGTGTGCCAGCTGGTGGGGCTCATCCTTCTTCGCAGAGGAACTGGGGACCTGATCAGAGAAACTTCTGCTTAGCACTGGGCCACCATGATCCTCTACAAGAGCCTGTGCGACATGGACACAGGATGGAGATGGTTCCTGGTGGTCAGAAGGAGGGTTTCTGTCCCCAGTGGGGTGGGATGGACAGTTCTGGATGTAAGTACCACATACCCCGTCATGTTGCTGACTTATTCTCCCACCACAGTCTGCCAAGCCGGAGGCTGAGCCCCAGGAGGACTCCCAGGAGCAGCTGCCCATCCTGGCAGACATGATCCTCTACTATTGCCGCTTCGCCACACGCCCCGTCCTGCTGCAGCTCTACCAGACAGAGGTAGGCAAAGGGGCTCAGCCCCATCTTCTGAGGGGAAAGGGAGGGTCTTCTGCCTGTGCCACCAGGTTGGGACCTGCCTGTGAAGTGATGTGGGTGTGTCACAGCCACCACGTGCTGGTGAGGCAGAGCTCGGTCTCTGAGTGTCCACGTTGCTTTGCTGATGCTCCTGGCTCAGGAATTGAGAGCATGCAGGTTCTGCTCAGACAATCCTGAAGTCACACAAGCAGTTTTCCATCATAATTCCTTTCCTCATGACACAAATCAATGCCTGTCAGTGCTGGCAGGTTATTCACATTGCTGGAAGTCTCTCCCGTGCTCTGTGTCCCAAACCAAGGCCCTCTGTAAACCTGTTTCCCACACCCAGCTGTGCGCCTGTGGCAGATGTGGTGGGGAAGTTGAATGTGGGGCTAAAACAACTGTTTTGGTGCTGTGACTCGGGACCAGATGCAGCGGGGCTGTGGTGAGCCCAGCTGCTGCTTTTCATGGAATTTGTGCTCTCAAAGCAATGCCCAGACTCATCATGGAGTTTCTTTCCAGTGGGGTGTGGAGTTTTCTTTTAGTAAAAGTTAGGGTTTGGGTTGTTTGACTTGCTGGTGGTCTGTTAGAGCAGCCTGAAGTACAGCTAAAGACAAGTGTCACCCAGAGCAGCTCTTGAAAGGTGTGTTTTGAGAACATGAAAGGATTTTCCCAAACTGACCTGTTTTCTGTGGAAAGGAGTTAGAGGGGTGAACACTGCCTGGCACAGGCTGGGTGGTCTCACCACCACATCTTCACTGTTCTCCCCTGGCAGCTCACCTTCATCGGGGGAGAAAAGATGACCGAAGTCTTCATCCATTCCCTCGAGCTGGGCCACTCAGCAGCCACACGGGCCATCAAGGCATCAGGTCTGTACCTGCTGCTGCACCCACCCACCCACTCTGGGGGTCTGCAAACCATGGGGCTGGGAGGTGAAGGGAAAGAGGGGCTGGAGGGAGCAGGGGCTGTGAGACATGTCTGACCCAGCCTGAGCAAAGGTTCAGACAGCTCTTCACTAATTTGGAAGAGAAATATCCTAATTCTTGCACTCCTCTTCAGGAGCAAAGACATGGCAAAGCTTTGTTTTTGCTGTTGTTAACTCTAAAATGGATTTACAACAAAACAGCTTCAAGCCCATTTCCTTCCCTTCTTCAGCACCTGGTCAAATGCAGCTTTACATCTTTTCTTTTCGCTGCTGTTTGTGCTTTCTCCCAGAATGGCATTTATAAAACCCATATTTCCGCTTCCTTAGTTTACTGGGCAAAGCAAGGTTTATGTGTGGGCGCACTTGGAGCCTTCCTGAATGTACATTTATGTTAGGAATTCGTAAAATTAAATAGTATTAGAGAGGAGGACCAATGGCAGGAGCATCTCCAGCTCGTCCCGGCAGCCGGGCCATCGTGCTCTGGTGCAGCGCACACAGACCTCTCGTGGCCAACCCACAGTACTGCGCATAGACACGCGGCTTCACGTCTTCAACCAGCTGCTTTTCTGTGATCTCGCCTTGTCTTTCTAAACAGAGCTCATAAAACATCCCCCACGCGAAGTGTCACCGCCCCACTCCCCCAAAATACAGGCTTGGGCAAGACCTCTTCCCACTAACTCGTGAAACCACCAATCCTGACTCGGATGGTTTTCCCTTGGGTTGTGTGACGAAACACCACATCTGCAAAAAATTATCCAGAGTGGGGGGGAAAAAAGACTTAGGAAGTGTTGGGCACAGTATTTCAAGGCTAATTTAATGTGGGCAGAAATATGCCTGGACAAACAGGAGCCAGGTTAGCAATGTGGCCTTTTATTGCTTTGTGTTTTCCCTGGAGCACTGACCCCTCTGCGCCAGCTTAGCCAGTGCCTCTTTCAGTTCTGCAGAGAGGCTTGTGGTGCTTTGTGTTGGAATTTCTGCACGAGATTAATTGCTTTCTGGCAGCTTTGAAGCCACCTTTTCTTTTTTTTTTGCCTTTTTGCTCCACAGCCGTATTCAGCAAACCATTTCCCCCCCTTTGTGTAGGTACTGATTGTGCTGCTCTGTCAGTAGCAAGTGAAGGACAGGGATAAAAAGCCACTGTGTGACATTTGCTCCTTGTTTTGTGCAGGTCCAGGCAGCAAAAGGCTGGGCATAGATGGAGACAGGGAAGCAATCCCACTAACACTACAGATTGCCTACAGCAAGGTGAGTGTGTGGGACTCACACAGACAAACGGGGCAGAATCCACCTCTGTGCTGGGCAGGCAAGTCTCATCTGGGGGCTGAGAGAGGCAAGGCTGACAGTCTGCTGGAGGAGCTCAAATCCAAACCAAATTCAGGCTAATTGTCTATTTAGTGGCTAATTGGAGGTGGCTTTCCACTCCTGTTCAGCCCAGTAAAATGGCATGTGTAGCCATCTTCCATAGGCTGTTTGTGCTCTCAGTGCCACTTGACACAGGTAGACTTTGCCTCCAGGGAGCAATCTTGTGCTGGGCACAGCAGTATTCCTGTTTTATTGGTTCCTCTGCAGTCATTTAGTGGTTTTGCCTGGGCAATCTTTTTGTGAATCCAAGATTAAATGAATTTTTATGCCTACTCAAACTTTGTGCAGCTCCAAGTGAATCCAGATGTGAGCCAGCCCACACTGGATGGTGTGGGGTGGGAGGTAGGGTGGCATCAGCCTGGAGTGTGGCATTTGTGGTGGGGTCACAGCTCCGGGCTGGGGGCAGAGCAGCTGGAAAGCTGCTGGTGGGAAAGGCCCTGGGGGTGCTGGTGACAGGGGCTGGACATGAGCCCAGGTGAGCCCAGGGGGCAAGAGGCCAATGGCCCCTGGGCTGTGCCAGCCATGGTGTGTCACAGCCCCAGGGCAGGGACTGTCCCTGTGCTGGCACTGCTGGGGCACCTCCAGTGCTGGGGCAGCTCTGGGCCCTCAGACAAGAGAGACATTGAGGGGCTGGAGCGTGTGCAGGGAAGGGAACGGAGCTGGGAAGGGGCTGGAGCAGCAGGAGCAGCTGAGGGAGCTGGGGGGGCTCAGCCTGGAGCAAAGGAGGCTCAGGGGGGACCTTCTGGCTCTGCAACTCCCTGACAGGAGGGGGGAGCCGGGGGGGTCGGGCTCTGCTGCCAGGGAACAAGGGACAGGACAAAAGGAAATGCACCATGGGAGGTTCAGGTTGGATCTTAGGATATATTTCTCCACCAAAAGGGTTGTCAAGCCCTGGCACAGGCTGCTTAAGGCAGTGTTTGACTCACCATCCCTGGGGGTACTTAAGAGACATGTAGATGTGGTGCTTAAGGACATGGTTTAGTGGTGGGCTTGGCAGTGTCAGATTTAGGGTTGGACTCGGTGATCTTAAAGGCCTTTTCCAAGCTAAATGATTCTGTGATTCTCTCTTCTGGGTTCTGCTTGGTCCCTGCAGACAGCTGTCAGTGGAAGAAGTCACTGGAATGATGTTGAGAAGGTCTGCACGTCTGTCAACCTTAGCAAAGCCTGCAAGAAGTATGAAGAACTTGGTGAGTAGGGGTGGCTGTGCCTAGGGAACAGTGGGAGGGACTGGTGGAGTGACAGGACAGTGTGGGTCTTCTGGCTGGGGCAAATGAGGGCTGTGTGAACACAGGAGATACATGGGAGGTGCCTGGTGTTCCCTAGTCCTTGGCATCACATCAGGGACAAAGGGAATTTCATGTCCCACTGTCCTAAAGCTTCCAGCTGGAAAATGGAGTGTCCATTAGGGATGGGGCTGGGATGATCCAAACAGCAGGATAATCGCTGGAGGGAAGTGCTTTCCAGAGCAACACTTGTTTAGCAGGGAGGTACAACTGCTGTTAGATGAAGCAGGACCAGAGCAAGGTGCTTGTCCTGCATCCACAGCAGCCATGTCTCACAACCAGCTTTCAGCAGCTCTTGCTAAGCTGGTGCTTCAGCCTGGTCCCCTTCCTGCATCTCAGAGAGAGCTGCCTGCCATGTGGGTTGGCTCCATAAGGCTTTTTTTCTAATCAGGTTTCCAATTAATAAAGCTTTGAGCCCTTTAAAAGCACCAAGACTTTTAGTCCGTGTGTGTATTTAGAAGCAATAGAATCACAGGATGTGTCACACCGTGTGCCTGAGAGCATTGTCCAAATGCTGCTTGAACTCAGACAGGCTTGGTGCTGTGATTCCAGTGCTCAACCACCCTTTGGGTGAAAAACCTTTTCCTGAGATCCAGCCTACATCTCCCCTGACTCAGCTCCAGCCGTTTCCTCAAGTCCCCTCACTGGTCACGAGAGTGAAGTGATCTGCTTGTTCTTGCTTAAGAACTGCTGGTTTGGCATTCACACATCCAATTCTGAATAAACTGAGGGATTTTTAGTTCCTTTTTCCTTGTGTGCTTTATTCCTGGCAGATGTGGGGTTTGTGAACAGAATAGTCAAGGCAAATGGCTGATCTGCCAAATAGGAGACATCCCCTACACGCTCCGTGGAGCTCCACCTAAACCTCCCTCCCTCCTCTCTCTCCTCTTGCTGCCCCATCCATGAAGCCATGCAGACAACTCTGGGAGAAAAACCAGCAGGAATTAGTTTCTCACCTCCTCTATACTTCGAGTTGGTTGTTCCTGCTCTAGTTCAGGAGCTTCACCTGTGCTGCCAGTGCTGTGGCTTTGCATCAGGGGGCGTCCTCAGCTCCTCTCTGAGGAGAAGCTTCATGGATCTCCCTCCTTCCAAGAGAACTCTGGTCCCTTGGATGATCTCCATTGGTTTTCACATTCAGCAGTTTGACCACAGGATGTCACTGTGATTCCAGGCACGAAGAAGCATCTCCAAGTGGACATGCTGGGAGAGTTAAAATTTCCTCATGATGATGGGGCAATGTTTTTTCTCCTGTTTGGGTCCTAAGACAGTTAAATGTCCTCTTCTCTCTGTGTCCCTGTTGCTTGCTTTCCATGTGGATTAGCCTGAGGGAAGGAAAGCTGGAACTGTACTGCATTTCCCCCAGCAATGGGGTCCTGCTGGAGCCACTGGGGTGCTTTGAGGGGTGGAGGGACCACTTGGGTTCTCACCAGTGGTCCAGAAACCCCAGTTGATTGCAGTTTTGTTTTGTTACAGCCTCAAAGACAGAGTGTCTCAACTTAACCATGACAGAGGTGGTCAAAAGGCAAAACTCCAAATCCAAAAAAAGTTTCAATCAGGTAACTCTAATCATGGTGCTTTTACACTTGGTAAGGTGAGGTTGGCCTGACCCAGCTGGAGAGAGCAGCTCCTTGGGGATCTGTTTGCTGGTGGCCCCCAGACCTGCCTTAGGGGTGCCCAGCTCCCCTTCCCTGCACAGGGGAGTGCACTGAGCCCACCAGCTCCCTCACCCCAGCTCTCGTTCTCTCAGCAGATCAGTGTGTCCCAGATAAAAGTAGACAAGGTGCAGATTATCGGTGTCCAGTCCTCCTTTGCTGTGTGCCTGGACCAGGATGAGCAGAAGATCCTGCAGAGTGTAACCAGGTAGGAACTGAAATGGGGCCAACTGCACTCCTGGGATGGTGCATCCTGTGTCCAGGGCTTGCCTGTGAAGTGGGGGGGATGAGGTCCTGAGCACCGTGGTGGGTCTGTGCCAGCTGCCCAAGCTGGGTGATACAGCCCCAGGCTCTGCAGGGCAGCTGAGCTCAGCTGGGGTGGGTGGTCCTGCTCATGTCTCAGCAGGAGTTTACCTTCATGATGGCCCCAGTCAACTCTTCAACCCTGGAGACATCTTTTCCAGCAATAAACTGGAGGCTATGTGAGATAATGAGGTGTTTGAAGAGCACTGGGTATATGAGCAGAGCCTTCAACTTCTAAACCTCATTTGGGTCCTTCCCTGCCTTTGGCAGCCCCAGAAGGAATCCATGATCTTCATGGGAGAGTCTGGGGTAGAGCAGGAATTGTTCACTGGGCTGTTCATCTCTGTTGTCTCCTCAGGGCACCAGCGTGGCTCCCCAGGTGGTGAAATTTGAAATCTCAGTGTAGACAAGATATTTCCATGAGTACAAGAGATCAAACCAGTTGATGTACAGACATTGTAATTTCTCCCTCAGACTGAGCAGAACTCTGCAAGGTTATGCTGCCTCTAACAGAAAAATATTGGGGATCTTATGTCTTAAATAACCCCAAAGAGAAGTGTTTCTCCTAAAGTTGTTTATCATGAAACTCAGGGGATAGTGGAGTTCAGTGCATGAAATGGTAAAGGAGCTTCTCCCGTCTCCCCAAAACTTGGAGGGTGCAAAAGTTGTTGTTTTTCCAACGAGTTTCAGCAAATACTCTTTATGGATGGTTCTGCTCTTGGTCCCAGACCGAGCCAGCTGAAAGACCTGAACTCCCAGCACTCAGACTCCAGTCCTGTTAAAGGCTGCACTGATTCCTGTTTGGTTTTAAATATTCCTGCTGCACCTGAGGAATACCAGGATATACATAGAATATCCTAAATTATCAGAATATACTGTACTATAATATTAGAGTATACTTAGATCTTGGTTTCTCTTTGTTCCCCTGTAGGTGTGAGATCTCTGTGTGCTACAAACCCAGGGACAGTGATCCCTTTGCACTGAGAGGGTGCTCTCTGCCTGCCCAGGACCCCTCTGAGTTCCACTCTCTCCTGTGTTTACCCATTGCCACCTTCAGTGGAGCACTGCCTTGAAGACCCCTGTGTCCTTCCAGACCAGAGTCCCATCCCACACCAATCCAGGCTCAGGAAAAGGAAGCTGACTGTCCTCCTTTGGACACCCAGCCGTGCTCGTCCAAGACGTCCTGTAGCTGAAGTGTTATTGTGGTGGCTGAGCTGCTCCTGGTCTGGGCTTGGCCCATCCTTGGGAAATGGGAACGTTGGTGGTGTGCTCTGGTATCTCTCAGGATTCCTCAGCAATGGGAAGAAAGTGCTTTCCTTGAGATCTCCACCTGGTTCAGCCAACTGGCAACACCTGGGTGAAGAGGGCAAGGCAAGGACGGGGGGATTGTCCTGCCAGCAAAAGGTGCTGTGGCTGTGTTTGACAGTGATTGCAAGGCCAGTGGGATCTGGGGTGGGGAAAGTGAGCTCATGGGGGGATATTTTGGCCAATGAATGTCCTTGGCTGAGTGGTGGTAGGTGTCCTGCAATGTGTGTGCAGTTACAGATCACCCAGCTGGTGCCATTTCACCTGTAACAGGTCGAGGATGCTCAGGGCAGTTCTTTGGGGATGGGGATGGGCTTTCTCAAGGTTTCCTTTAAATTCTGAAGGTTGGGTGTCTTGCAGACAAGCAGAGCAACCCAGCTGCAGCCCAGCAAGCCCCCAGCATGGGCTGTAGACTGCTGTGTGTTCCAGTGAACTGAGTGCCATAGGCCATTCCAGGGCATGGACAGCATGTCGTGTATCTGTGTATTTAATGGACATCCAGGACCTGCAGGAGAGGAGTTTCCAATTTCTGCAGAATCTCAGCATTCACCCATGAGTATTCCCTGTTCAGCCTCTGGTCTTGCTTCCTGCTCCCCAGCACAGTTTGCTGGAGACACCCCAGAGGCTGAATCTTCAATAGCTGCTTGAAATACATCCGGAACCATGCTGAACTCAGGGAGGGAGGGGAGCACTAGGGAAACCATTAGGATTGCCTTAAGCTCACCTGAAGAGGCACCTTTGATAGAGAAAGACCCAGCACCAGAACCACTAATGACACTTGCAAGGGACAATAGGATTTGAGATCCCTCTCCCTGGCAAAAGGCATTCTTCCCTCTTCCTTCTCTCTGCAAGGCTGTAGGTACAGAAAGGTGCAATATTTGGGGGTATTTAGAGGTATTCTGACCCAATGAGCAAAAAAATAAGATGGGAAAAGCCTTTCAAGCCGTTTCTTGGTAGTTTTTGGGGTTGTACTAGAGACAAAGAGGCAGCTCCCTGCTTCAGGATCTTGATGCCAAGGACATGTGCTCCCTGGAAATGTCTGAAAGGGGCCCCCAATACTGCTGGGGGGCTGCAGGGTTCAGCCAGAGTGTGATGGGTCAGGTATGTGTGGATTCCCCCATATCTCCTGGATGTGTTTGGGGAATCCCTCCTGTGCCATCAACTCTGGTCCTGGCCCTGCTGGATGCTGGTCCTGCTTTCTGCTCCCACTGTGCGGCTGGGGACAGCTTGGTGACACTTTGGGTGGGGGGTCACACCCTTGGGGACACCCCAGGGGTGACATCGTGGTCCTTGCTGGCTCTGGTGTCCTCAGCAGTTGTGTGTAACTTGTGCCAGTGGCCAGAGATGAGCAAATATGAGACATGAACACGCTCCTGAGGCCTCTGTGCTCCATCCTTCTACTTGAATCAACCATCCCAAGGACGGTGTTGCCTTGGGGACTCCAAGAAAAGACCCTCCTGTGGGGTGAAGGATCCATTGAACATGAATGTTGAACAGCTCTGGCTCCACCAGGATGCAGAGCCAGCTTGGACTCCCTGCAAGGACCCACCTTCCCCAGCCATGCACTGACTCCAGGAGCACCCATCTCTTCCTGCATGGAGCAGTGTCCATCCCTTGCTCTCAGCACAGACTTGGCAGGTCGTGCTGGGCTGTCTCCTCCCTCACAGGCTGCCTGCAGGGTGAGGCAGGACCACTGAGGTCACTGCTGTGCACTTCTCTGCATCACTATTTTAAATCCAGCAGGCTCAAGAGATCAGAAACAGATTTTAATGGCTCTTTCCATGCACTTGGAATAAGTTTTCTTCACTGACTTTTCATTTCCCGGGCAGGTTTGTGTGTGTTTTCTCCAGTGGGGCTGAAATTTGACAGCTGGTTGTTGTTGTTCAATACTTTAAAATAGCACCTTATCCTGTCAAAACATTGCTAGTTGTGATCTTGATATCTGTGGCTAAATATATCCCTGCCACTGGTATGGCAGAAACCACTCTGGTTTCAGCTGGTCCTCCAGGAATACAGGAGAAGAGAATTTCCAACCCATAGAGGAAAAACAAGCACAGACTCTAAGGACTTGTAATCCTGGCCAAGGTTTTGACCTGTGATGCTTTCTGGAAACGAAGGAATTGCGGGGTTCTTTCAGGTCATCTTTGTACATATGTGCAGCCTCACCAAATCTGTGTAAAGTCTGTGCTGATCTGTAAAATATTGGTCGAAGAACTTTTAAAGTAATTGTAAAGTATTAAATGTTGATTTATTTCGAGTACAAGTTTGGGTCAAGTAATTCCTGAGCGGGGGGAAGCAGGGGAGGAATCTCCACGAGGAGGACACAGGTCCCTCACAGAGGAGCTGCTCTGGGAGCAGGAAAAAGCTTATAAAGGCCATTATAGTCATGAGCTCGGTCCCAGAGGGCACGACACGGAGACCTCCGGAGGTTAATTGAGCTGCTTCTGTTCTGTGAGTGAAAAAGCAGGTTTGGTGTTGTAAATTCCAAATTGGCTTCATGCTGGATTGAGGAGAAAAGAAATGAGCAGAGCCTGTGTGTGCAAGGTGAGATCTGTGCATGCCCTTCCCTTCTTGGAGGCTCCCTGACCTTTGCTGTGTTGATTTGCTCCTGGGTCCAGGGACAAGGTCCAGCCTGGGGGGACAGCAGAGCTCTGGGATGAAGGGTCCCTGCTCAGGGTCAGCAGGTGGATATTACAGAATGACAGAGTATGCTGATACTGGGGGATTTCTGACTTGGAAATCCCTTCTGCTTCTTTGGGGATGCAGACTGGCAGCTGGAGCTGTTGCTGCTGAAAGTGCTCTGAAATATGAAATGACACTTGGAAACATTAAACTCTCTCCACTGTCGCCTGTGGATATTCAAGGAAAGAGGCTCAGTTGGTAGGTGTGAGGGCCAGTGTGTCATGATCAAATAAACAACACAGGAAAAGTCATTTGAGCTCAGACAAGCCAACAACCAGATGAGAATAACTTCTGTTAATCAGCACTTTGTCATGTATTAGCTGTCTTTTTTCACGCTGATTAAACAATAACAAAAAGTGTATTTTAACTAAAAAGGTCTTTTGAAAAGGCAGATAAGGAAAATTTTCCAAGCTGGAATGATAATCTGCTTTTGTTTGTTCTCAACAACACAAACACCCCTAAACTACACATTCCCCCCCTCTCTGTTCTTTTCTTTTATAGAGGTAAGTGGAAAGAGGAACAGGTATGATTAAATCTGAAGCAGTAAGAAAGTACTTTGTTCTAAAAATGTGCATGTCAAGAAGTTTGGGATCAGAATTCAAGTCTGATCCCTGAAGTCCTGCACAGCTGAGGTGAAGTGGCAGTTTCAGGTGCCCTGCTCTCTCAGGGCTGGTGATCCCACAGCCACCTCAGTTGGACTTGGCAGAGCTGGAACGTTCTAGTGCGTGAGGTGAAGAACATCATGAGCCAGTGCTCATCCAGAGAAGGGGTTCTTAAGTGGCCACTCATGATCTGGTGGTTAATTAGAAATACAGAATTAATTAGCATCAAAGGACAGGAATGAGTTGGCATGTCCATGGGCTCGTGCAGCTCAGCACTGCTGACCCCCTGCACGTGTTGAACTGGTTGGTTGTTGGAACTGTGGGGCAAACCTTGCTCTTGTACTTCTGTTTCCTGGCAGACACACGTGTAGTTCCACGGGTGTCATTCCTGGGTGTCCCACAGCAAGAGACCAGCAGATGGGGGGATGACACCAGGTGTGGAAGCCCACAAAGACCTGAGGTTTTGGGGACCTGAATTAGGCTGATTTAAGACCTGAATTATTTCCAGGAGATCTCTTACAGGAGGCTTGTCAAAGGTGCTCATCTGCTCTCTCAGCTGTAGCAAGAAGTAGCAGAGAGCAGAGTCAGCTTCCCAGCAGTGCTCAGTCCCTGTATTCCATTACAGGACCGGGATTAATGTGCCTGGGATGTCTCCTGGGTCACAACCCCATAGCATCATCCCTTCCTTTCTGTCTCTGCGCTGCCTGTCTGCTCCCATCCCTGCAGCTCAAATTTCCTTCAGCCAAGGCAGGGGCACCTGGGGCCAGCTCAGGTCCTGCTGGCAGCGAGCCCCGAGCTGGGCTCCCTCCCTGAGTCAGTGAGGGGCTAACCCAGCAAATTCTCCCCTGTGCCAGGGACAGGATCTGCCTGACCCAGAGGGGTTTGTCAAGAGACACACCAATAATCCAGCACTTCCAGAAGAAAAGGGAGAAGCAAAAGAAATCCAGAGAATGTCTTCTCCTGCCAGCTTCCCTGCCCTGGTTCCCTCTTGTGGCTGCAGGTTTCTGGGCTGGTAGATCCAGCTGCTTCCCGTGTGCACGTTTGAGCTGCTTTTACAGGCAGTTGTAAAGTAAAGATTGGAAACTTCTGTGAATTTTACTAATTTCTGAAGGGTTCTGTCCAGCACCTGTGACTGAAAAGGGCATCCCTGGTTGTTTCAGGACTGACCTTTGCTCAGGACTAACGGGAGTGAAGCTGGACAAGTGGAACTTTCCCGGGCTCCAGGCAGCTCTTCACCTCTCCTGGCAGTGCCTCTGCTCCACTGCCCTTATCTTACCGGTGCTAATCAATGATCAATTAAAAGTTAATAAGGCTCCCTGTGCCTGCATGAGGAACAGAGTTTTCCTGGCAGGGAAAAGACACTGGAGAGCAGTAATGGTGTGCTAATGGTGCAAAGTTGCATAATTAGCAGTCTGTTCTGATGCCTGTCTGGCTGTGAGTTGGTGCAGACAGATGACTGCATGAGGAATGGGGGGCTTTTCTGTCCCAGTCCCCAACTCACCTTCTTCCAGTATTCTCTGTGCCTTCAGAATCCCCTCTCCTCTCCACAGGCACCTTCACTGCAGCACTCACAGAAAGACATGCAAAGGTTAAGGGGTTGGAAAGCACATCCTAAAATTGAAATCCAAGTCAAAGCAAGCATGACAGATATTCCGTGGTGTTTACCCATCTCTAGGATAACCTGGACTTGGGTTTGGCCACATAAAACTCTCTGGGCAGCAATGGGCCAGTGTAATGCTGTGTGTTTAGCTGGTGTTTCCAGCCACAGGGAGGGCCTGGAGCAGGGTGGCTCAGTCAGATGAACGCTTTCTGTCCTCACAAGGGCAAGTCTTGCTTCTGGCTGTGGCTCCTCTTGCATCAGGGCTCCTGTGTGACCACTCTGTGGGCAAAGCAATGGCATGGCTGTGACCAGGGAGAGTGCAAACATGATGTCCAGTGCTGGTGAGGTGTGGATGGGCTTGGCTGCCTTTGTGTGCTGGTGATTGCAGTGTCTTTCCAGGAGACACCTGTGAAACGCAGGTTGGGATGTTGCCCCTGTAACTGGAAATCTGGGGAGGGTCTGTCTGGTTACCCAGGACCTGGGTCCTCCAGGGAGGATCTGCTGGGAGATCCCTGCTTTGGGAGTCAGCGAGGGGCTCCCTCTTGCAGTCTCTTTTGGAAATAGGTGGAGAAGTGAGGTTGCAAGACTGGAGAAGGCTGATGACAGAGGATGTTGCAGGACACATTCGGGGTAGGCAGGGTGAGCAGGCAGTGCAGCACGAGCTGCTCGATGGTCCCCCCTGGGCATGCAGTAGGGGCTGGTTTCTGAGTCCAGCCCTCTCCTGGGCTTATCCAAATAAGCAAACCTGAGATCCAGAAACAACCTGCCCCTTTCCCTGCCTTCGAAGCTTAATCAGCATTTCAAAAGCCCTGCTCTGTTCATCCTGAACAACAACTGTAGCAACAGCTTCTCCACTCAGCTTATCAGCTCAGCGAGTGCTGCAGTGACTGTGATTAAAATGAGCTGTTTCCTGTTGCACTTTATCTCTGGCAGAACCGATAAGCTCAAGGAATTGGGCTCTTTCCAAAACCATCACATTGGTACCCACGGGGGAGAGCCGTAAATTCTGGGAGGAAGATCCTGGGAGTGTGAGCAGCAGGCACATAACCCTCGATGTCCA